GATGCCCACGTCATCTTCACGGAAGGCTTCATCTAAACCCCCTCCATTCATCGTACCCAGAATCCACGCAGTGCAAGGAAACACCGGCTTTAGCTTTGGAACTGTTGCAGCTGCGGGTCTACAGGGCGGATTACTTGCTAAAGCTGGCATGTTTTCCTTCAGAATATGCCCACCTTCTGCTGAGAGCAAGACTGCGGGTCTCGACCAGACAGGAAAAGCTCCTGAGTCAACAGGAACTGCTTCCACATTGTTACTTCCTGGAGGATACAGGTTAATAAAACTGCCCATGTTTGTCAGTCCCAGCGTGAGCAGCCCGACCGCTTCTGTACCCGCCGTATGCACCGAGAAATCAACCGAAGACCCGAGCGCACACCAGTCCTCAGTCTCTATTAAAACAGAACCAGGTGAAGAGCGCAGTGGCCTGCTCTCAGAAGACGGTGCTCCAGTTATCATTAAAGTAGAGTCTTACAGCGGCGACTCTTCATCCAAACATCCATGCGCTGAGCCAGAGGAACGATCGCTGCACATTAAGATCGAGGATGATACGGACCAGTCCACACAGAACAGCAAAGACTCATCACACCGCGCCAAAATAGAGGAGCCAGACCACGAGACGATCACAGGCGTCAGTCATCATCTGAACACCTCTGAAAGCAGGGATCGTGGTGTGAAAGACACAGACAGATCCTCCTCTAATACTGAAGTCAAGCAGCATCTGAGAAGCCGAGAGGAGAGGAAGGACACAGCCATTGGTGCTGGTTTATTGTGCTCTGCATTTGAGGGTCGCACCTCATCGGTCTCACAGAGTTTCACTAAAACACACAAACCCGGAGCTGAGGAGATCCAGAACCGGAGGAGAAAACAACAGGCTCCGGACGATCCACGAGTGGATTCTGCTGCTGAACTCAATCAATCCAGCAGCGCGTTCATGTACTCCAGTGACGGATGGACCACAGAAGACAGTGTAAGTCAGCTAAAAACACTGGTTTCTTGATTTCAAGCGATTCACATTTTTCTTAAATTATGAGAATCGATCAGTGCTGTTTTTAGTTGATGTGTGAACATAACCTCTAACCCAGTCATCTCAACAAGCTTCGTTACTTTTGAAACAAAGTCTCAGCGTTCAAATTCAGTCAGTTCTATAATGAAATTCAATCAATAAACATGAATGTACGTCAGAAGGTGTTGATAGAAACAGAACTCACTAAAATCTGTGATTCAGCTGCAGAAAGAC